CTCCACTCCTTCTCTGCCCACCTTGATTTGTAAGGTATCTTTTGCCAAACCCACTTGCTTTGGTCGTGCCCATCCATTATCTTTGTCTCTGTCTTTTCCTTTTTCTATTTTACTTTGCTTTTGCTGTCTCTGTCTCTGTCGTGTTTGCCTACACCTTGTAGCTGCGTTGAACCCGGCTTGCTGTCATTGGGAACGAGCTCCTGCAGAGCCTTCATCCTCTCTGCAATTCTCTCTCTCCGTAATCTTTCGGCTATGTTGTGCGGGTCAGTGACTTGACCTCTTCTCGCCTTGATTCTGGACCTTGATTGAACTTAGTTGCTTATATCAGCTTCCATCAGCATCACTCCCTTGCTCTGGTAATAATCATCTAGCGCTCACTGATGTCTTGACTGATTTAATCCAAAATAGCGTGCCAATGGTCGTCCAAACTTGAATGAGCCTTCTGCACTTTGGTGACCGCATTCTTAGAAAATCCTTGACATCGAGCCATCGGACGAGGAATCTGAAGATACGGCAATGGGCTCAGCAATTGCTGAGGCGTCTGCTGGACCGGGGGCGGGGCCGCCTTTTTGGGGGACTCAAAGACCGGCGTGATCATTTTCCGGGGAGATTCAAAAACCGGTTCGGGCGGCGTCATAAAGACAGTGTAGGACCCAATCTTGCCAATCATTGGAAAGGAAGTGGAGTCCCTGTTGATGGCCATCTGGGTTGTATTTGGTTCGGAGGAAGATGGGAGAGAAAGTGAGGCTCTGCTGAGCAGCAAGAAGCGGAAACAGCTTTGGGAGACATAACCGGCGACGAGACTCTATTAGTGGGCGATCTCCTCAAACAGGTGCTGGGCATGGAGATTTTGGCCCCGGAGAGATGAGAGAGTGAATAAACTGGGCAGCTACGGTGGTGTTGGCAACGGCGGAGTCGTGCTGCTGGCCCTGGAGAGACAATAGAATCTGGAAATTGGAAGGGAAGCACGGTCTGGAAATTGGCCTGAACCTGGCGATCGAGCGGCTGGGTGGAGAGAGGCGAAGAAGGGTCTCCGAGCCTCCTCCCTCGTCGTTATCTGCCATCTTAAAGGACTTGAAGCTTCAGGAAAGCGTAAAGTGATTCGATCTAGAAGGTCCGATCGGGGATCGGAACAACGCCGTTTTGATATGGTTGAAGGTTAGGTATCGAAAACTGTCAAGAAGTGGGGATCTTGTATGCAGAGATTTCATACTGCAAATATGCAAGAGGCCCAAATGCCAAATTCAAAGTCAGAATTTGAAGTTGAAGAAACCATGGGGAGAGAGAAAGAGGCAGAGAGAAAGTGGTGTTCTTGGTTTTTATGCTTTTGCAGATTCACAGTGGTGAGATTTGATGAAAAAATGAAAGAGAACCGACATAGTTTTTTGTGTCGATTCCCACAGACGGCGCCAAATGTTGATGCACAAAACCGGAGGTCTTGGTACAACGTAAATCCGACCGTGAATCTGCATAAAATGTAAATGACACAAGAGTTATCGTGGTTCACCCTAAGGTTTGGGCTACGTCCACACTGATTATGTATTTATTTGAGGGAATAGAGAGGGAGAGGGTGAGAGCTTCTGAGAGCTTCTGAGGGTGAGAGAGGGGATCTCAGGCCTAGGAATTGGCCTCCGAGAGTGAGAGTGAGGCCTCCGCCATTGTGAGGGTGAGGGGTCCTTTTATAGAATAAGGACTCCTCACTTATTACATATTTGCCCCTTCCTTTATCCCATAATTACATTTAAGTCCCCCGAGTATTTGTACGAGATCTAAATACGAGGCCCTAAATATGGTATAACACTATGGAATGCAAATTTTCCACCTAAGGTCAAAATATGTGCATGGCGTCTTGGAAATGAGATTTTCCCCACCCGTGCAAACCTGAATAAACGCCATATCACCACTGAATTAGATTGCACTCTTTGCAATTCTTATGGCAAGACTACTATTCATTTGATGAAGAATTGCCCATATCCAAAGTGCGCATGGATGGCGTCCGGTTTGGGAGTAATTTTGAGAAATGTCGAACACCCATCCTTCCTTGATTGGATTACCAAAACTGCGAGACTTCTTCCCAAGTTCAGTTTTGACTTATTTCTCATGATTTATTGGGCATTATGGGGGGGCTAGAAATGGGAAGCTGTGGAATGAGGAAATTGATACCCTTAATGTGTGTGTTGAATGAGCTCGGCAATGGTGGGTGGCTTTTGTTAAGGCTAAGACGATTGCTTTCGGCTTGATTGCATGAGTCGTAAATAGCTCCAAATGGGTTCCTCTTCCTCCTAGACACCTCAAAATGAATATTGATGAGGCATGGAATGAAGTCAGGAAGATGGCGGGCTTTGGGGCGATCATCCGAAATGATATTGGCGGCTTTGTGAATGCATTTTGTGGCAATTCTGAGGATGCCTTTTCTCCCTTGCAAGCGGAGCTGGTGGCATTTCGAGAGAGTGTGTATTGGGCAGTAAATAGGGGAATTCAAAACTTATCTTTTGAGACCGATTCACTTCATATTGTGGAGGCTTTGAGGAATCTAACTCTAAATTTGTCCATAGTTGGACAAATGGTGGAGTACATCAAAACACTACTTCATCCAATCACTGAAGCTACTATTACCCATACTCGCCGCAATACAAACTCTTTTGCTCATCGGCTCGCATGGATTGGTGTCTCATTAACTCAACACTGTGAATGAAATAGGACTCCTCCAAGTGTTATTATTGACTTACTTGTAGAGGATTGTGTATATGATGTAATACTCTTTTTGATGAATTAAAATCTACTATCGTATCTTTTTAAAAAAAAAAAAAAAAAAAAAAAAACCCTTGTATGTATCCACGTTGTGTATAATTCCTTGGCAAAGAAATGTAGTTAGAATAAGTGTACGATCACTTTAGTAACAAGAAATCCTAACTAGGTATGTATTGAATCAGCCCGAAACCATTTAGTCATCTAACTCTTATCAACTAAATAGATGCAACCACATTTTAATTAAATTTTAAACAATCAAACTACAAATAAGGGTGTTGTTACTGACACTAAAAAAATGTCATTACTTCTTATACAAAATTTTCTTTATATTTTTAATAAATTTATAATACATAATGAAAATTTTTGGTGCAGGTAGTAGCTTCCTCAAATTAAATGAATAAACGATCTTCAATTTGAGTTATTTTATTGTATGAATGATAAAATGAAAGGTTTATCATACAACATTATTGAACATTCTTGAATGGGAAAGAGAATGGAGAAGGTAAAAAGAAAACGTACAAGTGAAGGTAGCTAACTTTCCCATATTATCATAAGTTGCCACCGAACCACATTCTTTTCCAACTCTCCAAGAGATTTCTGCGGTTTACCATTTCTTTAGACAATTTTTTCAAAGCTTTATAGATAATTTGCTAAGTTCCATGAGATACTTCAAACACTGAAAGTTGATCTATTTTTCGTTCTCTTGATCATATCCCTTACATTCAAAAGGATCTTGCCACTTGCCTTTTTTTCACCACATTCATTTCCACTTTCCACTTGATTCCTCCTTTGCAAATTTTCAATGAAATTCAGGAGGAGGATTCTCTCTCCTTCTATTTTTCTTTCATCTCGTCTCTTTTTCTTTGTTGTATAACGCATGTGAGGGTTGTTGAACAAATTGATGAGAACGATGACACAACTTTGACTTTTTCAACAGCTCTGAAACCTTCTAGATAGCTGTCAAGTTCTGCTACGGCGACCTAATGAGCCAATTATGGTTGGTTAAGGTGAAAGGGATGGGAAGGGGGGGGAATAAGAGGGGAGATAATCCGAGTCCTAAAATTTGAGCTACTTAGATCAACTCCAATGGGTTAAAACTCAAGATTAAGTTTTAAACTCGCCCCAAGCTTAGCCAATCATTAGGCTAAAAAAATATTTTGGGTTAAAACTTATTTTCTCACCAAATTTTACCCAGAAAATAAGCCAAGGTTAGTGGCTGAGACACAGTTGCTGACAATGTCAGCCACTTGCAGAATGACCAACGACTATTTTTTTTATGGTACGGCCCATGTGGTTGAACCATTGATTGAACCAAGAATCTAGATTCAATTTTAAAAATAATCATATTTATAAATACATTAAATCCAACGATTGAGATAAAAAAGAAAATCTAACAACCTAAAATTACATCCAACTGCTAAAACAATTAAGAAAATTATGTAAATCATAATTCACTAAAAAAACTCTATAAATACCTATAATACCCCGTATTTTAAAAAAATGGTTATATGTATATGTGTATGTATGTGGGTAATTATTTTTACGTACCTATTTTTTATATGTAAAATACTTTCAATGTAAAATCCTTTTTGCTACAAATTATTTCAAAAACTAGCTATTTCATGTTCATACGTAATTAGAGCTATTTTTAGTTTGAATTGGAGAAGGGAGATTAAATGAGTTTGGTTTGATTTTCCCCACAAAGGGGCCGAGAGTTTGAGTTTGGACTAAATGAATACTTTTGTCTTGATATTTTCTGTCAAAGATGAGGTGGAGAGTTTGTAACATTAGGAGTTAATGATTTGGTGATTACTCACCACTCTAAATGCGAAGGTGGAAGTCTACTTAAGAGTGAGTTGGCAAGTTTGTATTCATTAGGAATCTAAGAGTTAAATGTTTGATGATGATTCATCCCTCCAAAATTTGAAGAGGTGGGATTCATATCCCTTAGACTTTGGACGTGGCTTTTGAGTGTTTGTTCACCTTGCATGATATTGATTAGCTTCACATTTGTTGTTTTGCTATTGGACCACATTTCATTGCTAAGGATTAGGACAACATTTGTTGCCTTGTTATTGGAACACATTTCATGGTGATAATTAGGTTAACATTTGGTGTGTTTCTATTGGAACACATTTTATGTTTAATGATTGGCACAACACTTGCTTTCTTTCTATTGGCACACTTGTGGAGATTCTTTGGAAAGGAAGATGTCATGCAGTCTTTATAACGGAAGGAGCAAGAACCAATGGAAGACATGGAGAGAAGAGAGAGGAAGAAGAAGAAAAAGAAAAGAACAACTCCAACAAAAAGCCATCCTCCCTTTCATATTACCTCTTTATCTTTCTTTAAGGCTTTTAATCCATCTTTCATTGTGTTTGTAAGTCCCTCATATATAATGAAATGCAATGAAAGCAAACCCCAGTGGATGTAGTCGATTTGGCGAACCACTTAAATCTTGTGTTGTTTATGCATTTACATTTGGAGATCATTGCCATGAGAAGCACTTCCACCAAACCATCGAAAATCTCCATTTATTTCCCTTGAGAATGATGTACAAAAAGTGTGAGACATATCCCAGAAAAATACATAAGACCTTATCCAACAAATCTCTCCACCAAACTCACCATCATTTTCATCTGTCAAAAGAAAGATATCCAAAAACTAGAAATTCGTCCAGCCTATTTAACAGACCAAAACACCATCATCCATAGATTATATCATAGTACTTTCTTCATGCAAGTTGTGTGTCTTTCTCTCTACCATGATATATCCAAATTTCAGGAAAATCCAACAGTGCGATCGTCCGATATGTTTGAAATACCAACTCAGTCTCTAATCCCGAAGAAAACTGGACAGCCATCTTATGAGTACCAAAACCCCATTTTTCGTAGCTCCAATCGAAACACTTCCTTCACAAACTTTGTTCCTTATCATCTCCTCTATAATATATCCAAAAACCACGACAATCCAATCTATGTGCTGACTTGTACCCCAGTTCGAACAGCTGATGTTCGGTTAAGCTAGCCTTCTCTGCCAACCTCTTTGCATGGCCAACATCTCCAGTTTCTTTCTCTCCCTTCCATGGAAGTTTTTCAGCAATCCGACCCCTACTACATATGTAGAATTTCAGGTATATTAAAGAAGAGTAAAGGGAAGTGGTGAAGAGAACAAGAGGGAGGAAATGGTAACATATTACTTATCATTTACATTAAATATTATTATTTTGTTAATATTATGATTATATCACTATTGTTACTAATCAATTTGATTTTTGTTGAAGCTTACAGGCTTGTTAAAGAAAATGTGAGTATTGATATCTATGTGAACGTGACATATACATATGCATTGCAAAGCAAGAAAAGAGTTGTGTTGAGTCTTGTAAAGTGTTTGAGTTGTGAGGATATTCAAGGGCTAAAGTTTGCCTTGAATGTAAAATAATGAACCTTGTATATGTCAAGCGTAGGGTGCAAGGCTTGAGTATACATATTGGTTGATTATAAAAATAATTAAATCTTGTATATGTCAGGCGTCAGGGGAAGGACTTGAATATACAATTGGGCGTCAAGGGAAGTGTCTGTTTAATAAAATGGAAACTAAGAGTTTAATTACAAAAATTGGGTTTAAGGGATGAATGGGAGTTAACTGATATTCTAACGTACTTGGAGCCAAGTGGTATAAGCATGATATGAGACGCGCAAGCTTGGGTGCCTTAGGTATGTGTTAGCGAGAATAGAAGGGGGTGAATACATTCATCCATCTCATTTGCATATATTTCATGCATTTGAAGAATTGTTACAATTTAATTATCATCTAATTGGTAGTATTTGTTGTGAATTAATTTGTACACTATTTTATTCCGCTGCGTATTCGATAAAGGGGTTTCTCCATTTTAATCCTTGATAAAGATTGAAATTCAATTAAAACCTTATGTTAGATTATATATTCATTATAGTCCTTTGACTAAATTTCCATGTCAGCATAAATATTAAAATTTATAGTTTCTTGTTTTGAAATATTTAATGCGTTTTTTTTGTTCCTATAATGCCCCTATTAAATATTTGATTTTAATTAGCTCCATATTTTTTGGCATTGATTATTGTCTGACTTTCTAAAATGATAAACATAATTCAAAAAAATATTAGTGATACGTTACAAGAATTAACAAATACCTAATTCAAATTATTCATTATCACCATTCAAAGCATAGAGGAAATATAAATAGTCAAATCATATATTTTACATAATCGAATGCACTTAAACCATGTCCTAATGTGCTTAAATCATATAACCTAGTCGAATGCACATAAATCATAGTACCAAGTCAAATGCACCTATACCATGGTACTTATATGAATGCACCTAAACCATGGTACCTATATGAATGCACCTAAATCATGGTACCTATATGAATGCACCTAAATCATAGTACCTATATAAATGCACCTTAATTATTTAGGTACTATCAATTAGGTCTTATCCATTTGGTATGGTCGGTTAGGTACTATATAGTGTATGTCCGATTAATTTGGTACGGTCAATTAAGTTGTGATTTCACATTCTATTTTCTCAATCTGTATTTTTTTTTCATTTATCTCTGGATTCACCATCAATTTGGCATCTAAAAGCCCCTTTTTTCTTCTTTCTTCCGAATACAACAAGATTTTTGGTTTGTAAGTTTTATGGATTTTTTTGTTTGATCATGGTTTCTGAGTTTTCTGGGTTCTTTGATTGGAATAACACATGGAGATTTATGTTATAACAAACATGTTAATTATGGATCTAGTTAATTAAGCATTCTTGAAAAATTAATTATATATTTGTTTCTCTAATTGGTTTTAAGAGAGTAATAAGGGTAAATAGGGAAACTAAAAATGTAATAAATTTATTAAAAAATGATTAAATGTGACATGGAATACTATAATCTGACATGGAGGACTATTTTTAGTTTTTAATCTTACATACGGTATTATTGAAAAAGCAATATTATTTAGGGATTAAAATGAAGTTTTCTATTCGATAAATTTGTATGTAAGATTTGTTATATGTTGTACGGTGTAATCATTATAATTTTATTTTATCTTCCACCATATCTTGGTTGTAGAATTTATTTCTATAGCTAAGATATGGCTCACACCCTAACTCGTGAATAGTCTTTATTCGTGGGTCGGGGTGTGACAATACCTACCTATGTACTTGTTCAAACATCCACACAAAATCCACTTTTGTCAAACCATTCTTCCCCTTTTTTTTTCATTCTACCCACCTATGTATTTGTGTTTAAGAATAGGATAGGTTGTGTGGTTTTCCATGTTCTTTTATGTGGTGCATATGTGTAAGAATGAGGTAGGTTTAGTGATTTTTCATTATTTGTCAGAATTTAAATAATTTAAGGTTAAAATACTCATAAAAATAAATTAGGATCATTTACCTAAATTTTATTTTTTTAAATTTACTGAAAATTAGGCTAAAATCATTTTTTAATCATTTAGAGTAAAAAATTTAAGCTAAAACCGTTGGAGGAGAAAAACTATTTCTATTTCTAAGTGAAAATCTAAATTTTTTTGGGAGCTAATTATTAAGTCTTAACCCCAACCATTAGAGTTGGTCTTAATGAAAAAAAAGAGCATAATAAGCTGAGTTAAACAAATTATTATAAAATATTGTATCATATTGTATGTATCATATTAATGTGGCAATGAGGTTTATTAATACAACCAACTGCACTAGTATAAGAAACATTATTTCACTAGAACTTGCATATGAATCGATTAATTTCAAATCGTTGTAACCCCATATAGTAGGATGAATTAAAACTGTTAATACCAATCCTTCACATATTGCATCACTGTTATTATAAAATATTGTATCATATTGTATCATATTAATGTGGCAATGAGGTTTATTAATACAACCAACTGCACTAGTATAAGAAACATTATTTCACTATAACTTGCATATGAATCGATTAATTTCAAATCGCTGTAACCCCATATAGTAGGATGAATTAAAACTATTAATACCAATACTTCACATATTGCATCAATGGTTAACAAGTGCTTACTAACATAGGAGCGGCTATCTCATGCATACATCATGACGCGATTGTATAACTTCTTGCGTTTGGGGGCATGAAAGAGGGATCGTCTTTCACCTTGCCTACATATCCAAATATTTTTCCATTTTTATATGCTATGTATTTTCCTTGAAAAGCCGAAATAAACTACAACTTATATTTTTGATAGATTTTAAACGGGATATTTTGGACGCGGTCCCTAATCCTTAACATTCTTTGATTAAAACCTTAATAGTATTCAAAGTTTGATCAAGGTCCCTTGACTTTGTACACCTCATTATATTACTATTAATATTAATATTTTTATAGTTTTGACATTAATTGTTTGATATTTTATGAGATTTATAATCCTATAAATTTAAAATCCATCATTATAATACTATTAGAAACGGCTACAATAAAAAAATTCAAACTTTATAACATTTTGATTGAATAAATGGATAAAAACTATGTAAAAATAAGAAATAAAAAATGACAAAAGAATGCATCCATAGTGTTAAAAAAATTGGTACATTTTACAAAACAATTGGTACATTTCACATATAACAAAGCGGTACATTAATAAAGAAAAATGGGTACATTAGAAATAAATTAGGGTATAGATAAAATATTAAAAATTATGAATACAAATGAATTTTTAAAAATATAGGCGCTAAAAGAAATTAATACATGGGTATAAAATAAAACTAAAAAGAAAATATTATAAATTTAAAAAAAATGTTGCAAATTAAAAGTGGGTACAAACTAAAAATATAAATATATGATACAAAGTTTAGGCATAAAACATAAGTATATCATATGTAATTTTTCTATCATTGATTAAATATACAATGTCACCTGAGGGTATACACACGGGTACAAATACAAATATAACTTTAAAAAATATGGGCACAAAAAGAAACTAATATATGGATACAAATTAAAAATGAAAAGAAAATTGGTACAAATTAAAAAAATATTTGAAAATTAAAAATAGGTACAAACTAAAAATAAAAATATATGATAGAAAATTTAGCCATAAATATAAATATACTAATTGTAACATTTTTAACATTAAAGGAATATATTTAAAAATAAAAATATTTTATTATTTAAATAATTAATGATGTTATTAATACCCAAGGACCTTAATCAAAAATTGAAAATTAATAGGATTTTAATCAATGGAGTAGCAAAAACAAGGATGTGAACCTAATTTTCCCAATTTTAAACTATACCCTTCAAAATGTAATGGATTAATAATTGGACTAGAAAAATTATTAAACCAAATATGAATAGAGGATAAAAATAGCAAAGTCATCCCCTTCTTTATTTGTTTCACGTACTAGAATATTAAACGAAGAGGAATGTTAAGGAAACCTTTTCAAAATTAGAATTTTTCATGAATTTTTTATCACCTTAACGTCAATTTTTGTATTAACATTATAAAATATTATACTAAAAACATAAAATGATAAAAAATTAATAAAGAGTTATATTTTGAAAAAATCTCAATAGCATTTCTCTTAAACCAAACAAAATTCATGGTGGGATGATTTGTAAACCTTAAAATTTGCGAACATACTTTAAATAAATTTGATCCCTTCTTTTGAAGTTCTGTATCGAAAGGTGGCAAAAAAGTTGTTCAAAACGCTTTTCGCGACGTATCATTTGTGACTGCACTATGCTAACATATTTCGTGCCGTGGCAGCACTTGGGTTGAATCGATCGACTTAACAACAGTGAACAGGCGCAATCTTCTAGGCTTGCCAAGTTGCAGACAGCTATCTCTTGACAATTGCCTTGTTTTGAGATGAAACACACAGGCTACGTACGACTGTGCTCAGTGTGCGTGCTCGAGGTAGCCAACTTTTTAGGCACAGTTATAAGATCCCGGGCCCCTTCTTAAAGTGATTAGGCAATCTTCTACCGAAAGGTTCAAAGGACAAGAGGGTCGAAAATAGCTCAAAAATCGTCTTCAACCGAGGGCTAGGCCAGAGGGTTCTGAAATCTGGGAGGGCCCCACAGAATCGGGGAGGGCTGGAGGGCTGGCCACTTCTAGCCAGCCAGCCAGCCCCAGGTTGGTCAATATTTTTTTTTTTTGAAGTGTTGGATTTCCTGTCGGTTAAAACCGACAGGAATAGTACAGAATATAATGAATTAAGGCTAACGGCTACTGGGACATTTATTAATTAGTATTAGTGTCGGTTATAACCGACATATATAGTTTGAAAAAATTTAAATACAACGGCTAGCTAAATGCTAGCCATTGTATTCAATTTTTTTTTTTTAATTTAAACCTTTTTTTACTTCTATAAATATGGTGAAGCTCTTTCAATTCTTCACTTCATCTGCAATATTTCCTTCAATATGTTTTTCAATATTTCCTTCAATATATTTTTCAATATTTCCTTCATCTGCAATATTTCTTTCAATTTTTCAATAATTTCCTTATTTTTTCAATAATTTAACTAATAAATTATGTTTGGCCCTATGGCCTTTTGGCTCTCGGTTGGAGACAGTTTTTTGTGACAGGGCTAAAACGAGCCCTCTGGCCTTCTGGCCATCGGTTGGAGACGGAGGCAAATATGGTCATGTACTGTTCATTAAAATATTAATATCTTAGAGAATCTTGGAGGGCCAGAGGGCTAAAACGAGCCCTCTAGCCAGCCATCGGTTGGAGATGGCCTTAGTCAAGGGAACAACAAGGAAATGTTTTTTTATTTTTTATTTTTTTATTTTATTTTATCAAACAATAGATTTGTTAAATTAGGAAACCAA